GTTTGTCTTTTCTTCAGAGGTAAAGTAAAATCGAAACTAACCGGAATATTTAGGATAAATCTTGGGAATTTGAATGAAAATAGTTTAATTTTTAAAAAAGTATATCAAGTGCATCTTATTAAACAAAGAATATGAAAATTATTTCGTGAAATATGAGAAAATACGAAGAGTATAGCCTTGATAATTTTGAAGAAAAAATAACAAGAGCTCATTTTATTGCAAAGTTAAGTAACAACTCTCCGTTTGGATTTCTTTCTTAGAAAAAGTCGAGACTGAAACATAAAAACTTTAATGGAAAATATATCGCTTCGAAAGCTAAAACAAAATGTCCTCTTCTTTAGAATTAAAACTAACAAAAAAGTGGAGTAAACTGGTAAAGAAACCGTAACGACCATCAAGATTTTTAATTTTGATTCAATATTCCTATTTTTGAATCCCTTCTGTTGTTTGCCTTTTCTTCAGAAGTAAAGTAACATCGAAACTAGCCGGAATATTCAGCAGAGTCTTACACAAAAGGCCCCCCAGTGGCACAGCGGTATGTCTGCGGACTTACAACGCTAGAATCCGGGTTTCGATACCCGTGGTGGGCAGAGCACAGATAGCCCATTGTGTAGCTTTGTGCTTAATTACAAACAAAAACTTACACAAAATATGTAGAGAGACTAAAAACATATGTCGTATTTGAATTTCCCCGGGAAATACTTCAATCAGCTAATGACAAAATGACTACTTGCTGTGATGTTACTTTTGGTTAAGACTGGGTTTTGTCGTAGTGACATTTTCTGCCGGAAGAGAGGACGAACTCGACATTTAAGCAGGTTTTGGGAAGATGTTTTAGTTAAAAGAATCAATGATATGGTTTAACAAATCGAGAAGGTTAAACAATCCAAGCTAAAGGTCATCAACCATGATTATCTTTGGAGATACGGCGGTAAGAGAATGGCCAATTAGGCCTACTTCAAAGAAGAACTTTCCATCAGAAAGTCGACCTGCTGAAGATTCCAGGGATCCTGTTGGACCACCTCCAATGGATCTCCAAAGATAGAGCAGCCAGTGGATTTGCTCGACCACCTCCAGTGGATTTCCAAGGATAGAGCAGCCAGTGGATTTGCTCGACCACCTCCAGTGGATCTCCAAGGATAGAGCAGCCAGTGGATTTGCTCGACTATATTATGCCTGGTTCATTCATGAAGAGCTGAGATGATAAACCTGGTTCATTTTTGAAGTGCTGACAGAATAAACTTGGTTCATTCATGAAAAGCTGACAGAATATACCTGGTTCATTCACGAAGAACTGACAGAATAAACTTGGTTCATTCACGAAAAGCTGACAGAATAAATCTGGTTCATTCACGAAGAGCTGACAGAACAAACCTGGTTCATTCACGAAAAGCTGATAGAATAAACCTGGTTCATTCACGAAGAACTGACAGAATAAACCTGGTTCATTCACGAAAAGCTGACAGAATAAACCTGGTTCATTCACGAAGAGCTGACAGAATAAGACAGGTTCATTCATGAACAGCTCACAGAATAAGCCAGGTTCATTCATAAACAGCTCACAGAATATGCCTGGTTCATTCATGAAGAGCTGACAGAATAAACCTGGTTCATTCACGAATAGCTGACAGAATAAACCTGGTTCATTCACGAAAAACTGACAGAATAAACTTAGTTCATTCACGAAGAGCTGACAGAATAAACTTGGTTCATTCACGAAGAGCTGACAGAATAAACTTGGTTCATTTAGGAAGAACTGAATAAACTTGGTTCATTCACGAAAAGCTGACAGAATAAACTTGGTTCATTCACGAAGAGCTGACAGAATAAACCTGGTTTATTTAGGAAGAGCTGACAGAATAAACTTGGTTCATTCATGAAGAGCTGACAAAATATACCTGGTTCATTCAGCGCAACACCAAGGATAATCCTAACATGAAATAAGTTATCAAATTGAAACATAAGATCTTACAAAACCAGAAACTATACAAAAGTACGTGTTGCATCGTGCTGGATTTATAGCGTAAAACACATTGTGTTGAAACAGTACGTGACCTTGTAGGAGTGGAAGAGACTAAAATATGAATATACCGTGTACAAAAGCACATGAAATTGTAGGAACGAAAGGCACTAAATTATCGTTGCATTTTTAATGTTTTGAATTAGATGTTTGTTTGCTAGAGGAAGCTTGTCATGACATTATGGTTACGTAACGTATAGAAATTTAATGTAAGTTAAAGCCTCTATAGAATCTAAAAGATTCCTAAATTTCGCAGAAAACGAGTACAATATAAAATAACTAAGTTAATTAAATTCGGAATAATATTATTGAATTCAGTTTTAGTTAAAGAGTTATTCGTCTGCGATTCAGTTAGTCAGTCAGCCAGCGTTTGTTATTTATGAACTAGCAAGGAAATTCTGCAAATAACTTCGTAAGTGTTCTAGCGTGTTCTATCGCTGGGCGGATTAGTAGCGTGTTCTGTCGTTGGGCGGATTAGTTTGCATTATTTGATAAAAATAATGCTAAGTCATCTATACGTAAATATAACGAATACATTTATTTCTTCAACAAATTTGCTACATATTATGTTCACTGGTAGGCCCAACTTCACAGAACACTCATTCACGAGAAACTCCGAAACAAGTTTACGATTATTGCAAAAACTCTCATTTTTAAACTCACTAACTGATCTGAGATTGGACTGAATCATTCATTATTCAATGGCAAGCAATTATCTAAAATATAGCTTACAACACTCCCCCATTCTGGATTGTGAAGTCCCTTGACAATAAACTACTCACTTACGAAGTCCTTAGGGTGATTTTCTTTATGAAGACATACGGTATACAGATCGGATGACCTATTGTGATAACATCTCTGGTGTTCCTGTCACAGGGGCAATCCTCTTCGGGTTTCTGTGAGCTGTTTATGAATGAACCTGGCTTATTCTGTGAGCTGTTCATGAATGAACCTGTCTTATTCTGTCAGCTCTTCATGAATGAACCAGGTATATTCTATCAGCTTTTCGTGAATGAACCAGGTTTGTTCTATCAGCTCTTCGTGAATGAACCAGGTTTATTCTGTCAGCTTTTCATGAATGAACCAAGTTTATTCTGTCAGTTCTTCCTAAATGAACCAGGTATATTCTGTCAGCTTTTCATGAATGAACCAAGTTTATTCTGTCAGCTCTTCATGAATGATAGTTTTAGAAATGATGTTGAAGATATTAACATTTTCTAGTGTTAGAAATAGAAGCATAGACCTAATGTTTTCAGTAGTTTTAGAGATGAAGTAGAGATCTTAATCTTTTGTACTATTGTAGAGATGATAGTAGAGAACTTAATTTTTTCTGTAGTTTTAAAAAATGATAGTAGAGATCTTAATGTTTTTTGTAGTTTTAGAGATGGTCTTAAGATCTTAATGTTTCCTATACGTTTAAGAGGTGATAATAGAGATCTTAACGTTTTATGTGCGTTTTAGAAATGATAGTACAGATCTTACTGTTTTATATAGTTTTAGGTATTATCGTAGAGGTCTTAGTGTTTTCTGTAATTTTTAAAGATGATAGTAGAGATCTTAATGTTCTCTGTACGTTTTAGAGATGATAGTAGAGATCTTAATAGTTTCTTTAGTTTTAATAATGATAGTAGAGTCTTTTCATTTTAAGATCTTCAAATGACCGAACATAGCGCTATGGAGGGAGATTCGCAACTTCCCGAAGACAACCGGACGGCTAGTCCCCGACCAGACGTCTCCGACTCCGACGACGATCGTCTGTCGGACAGTGCTACCCCATGTTCCCTGCTGTCTAGTGGCGGTTCTGTGGAAGATGACCATCAAGAAACAGAAATGGACGACGTGTTTTTTTCACAAGTGACGTCAAGTTTTGAGGCCACGCCATCATGGGTTTGGGACTCTCCCTTTCCTGCCCCTCCTCAGTCACCCTTCGGTTTTTCTTTATCTGCTTCTAGACAGACACTTTCTCTGGAATTACCCCCTAGCCAGCAAATACCCCTAGAGTTCCTCTCTAGGCGGATCCTCAGACGCAGGGGCTCTTCAGAAGAAGGGGTTCCTGCAAGTGAGGGACGGAGCCCTCGGAAATTTAACCGCCGCGTGTTTACAAATAGCCGCGAGCGGTGGCGGCAACAGAACGTGAACGGCGCATTCGCCGATCTGCGAAGACTATTGCCGACTCATCCACCTGATAAAAAGCTTAGTAAAAACGAGATCCTGCGCCTGGCTACTCGTTACATTCGGATCTTGTCGGGAGTTCTCGAATACCAAAAACAAGAACAAACCGGGACTCGAACGAACCAGATGGACTCAGCTTTGACCTCAACAAATATAGTGGACACAAAGTTCTGCACGAGCACCGACCAGGACTCCCAGTGTGACAGCTATCTGTCCGTTCGACGAATAAAGCAAGAGAGAAGAGGCGAAGACAAGACTGGCTTGAGTGTCAGCTCGACTGCATCCAGTCTCAGTAGCCCACCGTCTAGCAATGAAGGTTTAGATGAAATCATTGCCTACTGAGTACGTGTTGTTGTTATGGAAACATCTACGTGGAATTCTCCTACTTATAAAATATTAAAACCAACATTGTAGACTGGAAAGGCTGTGGTTGATAATAACAAGAAAATACTTTCTGGTTGTAACGGAAAGAGTGGTTGTGTATAAGAATAGTTATCGAGGATCAGAAACAAAACTTGCAACATCAAGACTTCATCCTCATCTGCTAGATGATGACTGAATCTTCAAGATGAAATTAAATCACTGCTTGTGAAGTATTATAACTGTATATTTGAATAGTGTTATTGTGGAAATCTTCATGTGTAAATAAAAGCTTTAATTAAAGATCTGACAGAATAAACCTGGTTCATTCATGAAGAGCTGACAGAATATACCTGGTTCATTCATGAAGAGCTGACAGAATAAACCTGGTTCATTCATGAAGAGCTGACAAAATATACCTGGTTCATTCGTGAAGAGCTGACAGAATATACCTGGTTCATTCATGAAGAGCTGACAGAATAAACCTGGTTCATTCATGAAGAGCTGACAGAATAAACCTGGTTCATTCACGAAGAGCTGACAGAATAAGACAGGTTCATTCATAAACAGCTCACAGAATATGCCTGGTTCATTCATGAGGAGCTGAGATAATAAACCTGGTTAGACATCATTAAGATCTCTATTATTATATCTAGAAAACAATAATATCTCTACTATCATATCTAACACTACAGACATCATTAAGATCTCTATTATTATATCTAGAAAACAATAATATCTCTACTATCATATCTAACACTACAGACATCATTAAGATATCTATTATTATATCTAGAAAACAATAATATCTCTACTATCATATCTAACACTACAGACATCATTAAGATCTCTAAAACATACAGAACATTAACATCTGTACTATCATCTCTAAAACTACAGAAAACATTAAGGTATCTACTATCATTTTCAAAACTAAAGAAACTATTAAGATCTCTACTATCATATCTAACACTACAGACATCATTAAGATCTCTAAAACATACAGAACATTAACATCTGTACTATCATCTCTAAAATTACAGAAAACATTAAGGTATCTACTATCATTTTCAAAACTAAAGAAACTATTAAGATCTCTACTATCATTTCTAAAAAACAGAAAACATTAGCATCCTTTCCATCACCTCTAATA